AAAAAAAAAAACAGCAGAGCCTGCCTCCCACACACCACACAGTGCTCAGTGGTCTAGTAAGGGGATGTAGGGCCCAGAGGCCAGATGTTTGGGGAAACATGGCTGCAGACCTTGACCAGATTCCCAACTTGGATGGCGTCTTCAACAAACTATCACAAAATGTCAAGCAAGCTGAAAAGAAAGTCTGTGATCATGAGTGTCTGAGTAAGCACCACCAGAACCAGGGCAGGAAGCTCCAGGCATCTGTCTATTCTATGGGTTACAGTCCTACCCAGCAATCTGTCTCACTGAGATCAAACCAAGTATCCTGATTGTCAGGATACCTACTGAGACCCTGCCCCCAGCAGCTCAGTCAGGACTCTGCTCTTCCTGGGTCCCTCTTGAGGGGCTGACCCTATTGATTCCCTTCTGAACCCCACCCTGACCATGCCACCTGTCAGGTCTTGAACAGCAAACCAATCTGATCCTCAGAAATTAAAAGCATTGACACGCAAAAAATTAATTACATTTAAGAACTCACAAAATCCAAAACAGGGATTCTTTGGGAAAATTAGGCTTAGCTGATTTATCATAAAATTTCTCTGGGGGCTGGAGAGATGGCTCTGCAGTTAAGAGCACTGACTGTTCTTACAGAAGATCTGGGTTTGAATCTCAGCACCCACATGGCAGCTAACAACCATCTGTAACTCCAGTTTGAGGGGAATCCGACAGCCTCTTCTGTCCTCAGGCATTTTGAAACACAGGTGCACTTACACACATGTAGGCAATACATTCATACATATAAAATAAAAATTTAAAAAAATAGTGGTGCATGTCTTTAGTCCTAGCACTTGGGAGGCAAAACCAGCCTGGTCTACATATCAAGTTCCAGGCCAGCCAAGGCTACATAGTGAGACCCTATCTTAAAAAAAAAAAATCCACCGGGCATGGTAGCACACACCTTTAATCCCAGCACTCAGGAGGCAGAGGCAGGCCGATCTCTGTGAGTTCAAGGCCAGCCTGGTCTACATAGTGAGTTCCAGGACAGGGCTACAGGGAGACCCTGTCTCAAAAAGACCAAAAAAAAATAAAAAATTCAGGGCTGGAGAGATGGCTCAGCAGTTAAGAGCACTGACTGTTCTTGCAGAGGCCCCGGGTTCGATTCCCAGCACCCACATGACAGCTACAAACTGTCCTTAACTCCAGTTCCAGGAGAATCTGAAGCCCTCTTCTGACCTCCGTGGCATTGCAGGACATGGATGCACTCACATACATGTAGGCAATACATTCATACATATTAAAAGAAAAAATCCTCAAAATTAAAAACATTAGGCCCTTAAAAACAGAAGAAAAATGACATGCTATCCACACACCCTCAGTCAGCCTCAGATGTTGGAAGCCAGCCACTCAAAATCATTAAAGTTCTGAAAGAGAACCCTCCATACCAAAGTTGATAGCTCAGGAATGAAGGCCTAAGAGTTTTCCATTGTTGTGTAAATTTCTGCAAACTCTGTGGCACCAAACCCAGCCATTTATGGGTTCCCAGTTCTGTAGGTCAGAAGTCTGGGTGGGCTGTGCTCTGTCTCACAAGGACATGTCAGGCTAACAGGAGCTCCAGAGAAGAAAACATTTTCTTCTTTCCTTTTTTTTAAAAAAAAAATTTTTCGAGCTGGACATCGTGGTACATGCCATTAATCCCAGCACTTGGGAGGCAGAGGCAGGTGGATCTCTGTGAGTTCAAGGCCAGTCTGGCCTACATAGCAAGTTCCAGGCCAGCTGGGGCTATAGGGAGACCCTGTCTCAAAAAGAAAAAAAAAAAAAATCCTTTGTAGCCAAATTATCGGGAGAAATTAAAATGTCACATAATTATAAATTCTACAAAAATGTTCATATAATAAATAATAGGTCAGAGTTTGTGGTATGTATCTGTAATCCTAGCATCTGAAAGGTAGAGACAGGAGGATCAGGGGTTTAAAGCCATCCTGGGCTACATCAGACTGGAAAAAAAAGGGGGGTGGGTAGGGTAAGAAGATGGGTCAGTGGGTAAAGCACTTCATGAGCAAGCATGGGGACCTTTGTCCATTTCCTCCACACCTACATGAAAAGCCAAGCACAGCCATGTGGGGATGGGGGTGGGGATCCCCAGGGCTTCTGACCAAACCAGTGAGCTTCAGGTTCAGTGAAAGAATCTGTCTCAAAAAAGGTAGAAGCTGGACATGGTGGTACACACCTTTAGCACTTGGGAGGCAGAGGCAGGTGGATCCAGGCCAGCCTGGTCTACGTATAAAGTTCCAGGACAGCTGGGCTACAGGGAGACACTGCCTCAAAACACCAAAAAGTGTGGGGCGTGGTAGCACATGCCTGTAGTCCCAGCACTTGGGAGGCAGAGGCAGGCGGATCTCTGTGAGTTCAAGGGCAGCCTGGTCTACATAGAGTTCCAGGACAGCTGGGGCTACAGGGAGACCTTGTCTCAAAAAGACCAAAAAAATAAAAACAAAAGTTAAAATAAAATAAGGTAGGGCACAATAGGGGAGCACACAAGCACTCTACCCCTGCACAGTTCCAATGTGTAACCAATATACCATGGATGTAAATGCTTCCTGATAAAAGGGCATTGACTGCAGGCACACATAGGGATCAATCTCAAAATCATCACACCAAGTAACAGAAGCAGACCGATCCTGCCTTCATAAAGTCTAGAAAACGCCATCTACGACCTATAATAAAGCATGCAGCCCTAGGGACCGAGGTGGTGGAGTAATTACCAGGGCACAAAGAACCTGATGACTCACTGGTCCTGGCACGACGGAACTTGAGGAATGTGCAATATTTCAAACCTGAGCAAAACATACGTTTCAACTCTGTGCAGTTCAGTGTATTTGAACTATATCCCAGAGTAGAGTTAAAAATGTTAAGAAAACTTGTTAAAGGATGGTGTGCTTTAGTGTCAATTGACACACCTGGGTTGAGGGAGCCTCAACTGGGGAATTTCCTCTATTGGACTGGCCTGTGGCCATGTCTGAGAAGCATCTTCTTGATGAGTGATGTGGGAGGGCCCAGCCCACTGTGGGTGGTGCCACCCCGGGCAGGTGGGCCTGTGTTGCATAAGAAAGCAGGTTGAGCAGGGCCAGGGGAGCAAGCCAGTAAGCAGCATTCCTCCATGGTATGTGCTCCAGCTCCTGCCTCCAGAGTTCCTACCTTGGGCTCCCTGATAAACTGTGACTTGGGAGATGTAAGCCAAATAAACCCTTTCCTCCCCAAGATGGTTGTAGTCAGTGTTTTGTCACAGCAACGGAGAGACAAACTAGGACAGATGGAGATAAGAGTTCAGGGATAGAGCGCATCCCTGGGTTCAATTCCCAGTACTTCAGGGAAAAGAGAGAAAGGGACAGAGACACAAAGAAGTTCTTAAAAGTCACAGGGCTGGGTCTGGAGAAAGGGCTCTGCAAAGACTGACTGCTCTTGCTAAGAACCTGGGTTCGATTCCCAGTACCCACATGTTGGCTACGAACCATCCTTAACTCCAGTTCCGAGAGAATCCGAAGCCCACTTTTAAAGTCACAGGACTACGCCAGGACTGGTGGCACATGCCTATAATTGCAGCACTCAGGACACAGAGGCAGGTGGACCTCTGTGAGATTTGAGGCAATCCTGGTCTACATAGCCAGTTCCAGACCAGCTGGGGCTACAAGGAGATTCAGTCTCAAAAAAATAAAAAGAAAAAAGAAAGAGGAACTGAGTTTGGATCCCCAGCACCCACATAAAGAGAGATGGTGCAGAGGTTAAGAGTGCTTACTGTGGCCGGGCATGGAAGCACAGGCCTTTAATCCCAGCACTGAGGAGGCAGAGGCAGGCGGATCTTTGTGAGTTCGAGGCCAGCCTAGTCTACATAGTGAGTTCCAGGACAGCTGGGGCTACAAGGAGACCCTGTCTCAAAAAAGACAAAAAAAAAAAAAAAAAAGTGCTTAACTCAGAGGACCAGAGTTCAGATCCCAGCATCAGCATGGGACCCAAGGCTTCCTCTGACCTCCACGAGCACCCACATAGTTGTGCACACACGCAAAGTGAAATCTATCTTCTTTAAAAAGCAGAGGTGGAGGTGTGCACCTATGTAACCCCAACGCTGTGGAGGGTGGAAACAGGAGAATTGCTGAACCTAGTTGGCCTCCAGTTTAGCTGAAAAATGGCGTATCTCTCGGCACAGAGAGACCAAACCATCCATGTCTCGGCACAGAGAGACCAAACCATCCATGTCTGCTTGTGGGAGCACCCCTCTCTTCCAGGCAATCCACCATTGCCACACCTAGCCTGCTCCGGGTCAGACCAGAAAGAACGGGAAACCCCAGAGGCCAGCCTGCTACTCCCGGGAACCCCCGCCCAGGTGGCAGGTTTGGGAATGGGACCTCGGACCAGGGACACACCCCTCTGGGCTTTCCCATCTATGAGATGAAAATAAAGTCGTGGTGTTAGGTTCTGGCCGGCTCTGGCCGCAGGTCCTCCTCGGGTGCGCTTTCATCTTAAGGAATCCCACGGACTGAGAGCCCAGCAAGCACCTCAGCGAGTTAGAGCCACTGCGGACCCAGCGGGTCCCTCGGGGATGCCGTCCCCGGAGCGCCGGGCCCCTGCCCCAGTTATCATAACAAAAACCGCAGTTTCCCTGGATCCCGCCAGTGCAAATACCTGCCTGGCCCGATGGCACCGAGATAGGGGCCGCTGGGTAAATAAATCTGCTGGCAACGCCGCCCTCCGCGGCCTCGGGCTCTCGGGTTCTCGACACCCGAGCCTGCAGCGACATCCCAGCCGGGACGGGGGGAGGGGTGGCTGAGGGGTGCTCCAGGGTCTGGGGCATTCTCGAACCGGGAGGGGGAGAGTGGAGCAGGGTGCTGCCCGCCGTCCCAGCATCCACTGCAGCAGGTGCTGGGCGCACACGGTGCGCCCCTGCGGGGGTCCCCAAGCCTTCCCGGAGCCGGACGACCGACACTCTGCTGGGGTCCCCGGCACCACCTGATGCCTCACCTGTCCCGGACTCCCGAGCGTGCGCAGGGACCCGGCCTCCGCTCCCTCCACGCTGTGTGTGGCGGCGAAGGGGAACCTGGTGTGGGGCATCCTCGCGCCTCCATCCATCCCGCGTGGCTCTTCCCAGCCCGCGCCTGCGTGGGCTCTCTCAACCCCGGCTCCTGGCCCGGGTCACCCCTTACCTCCCCCCTTGCTCCGTCGACCTGAGCCTGGTCCCAGATCAAAACCACCACGATGAGGGTCCGGGAGGGAAAAGCAGGCTTGCAGGCACCCGCTGTCCCCCGGCGTCTTCCCCAGCCGTCCCCAGCGATGCGGAAGAGGCATACATTCCTGCACTTTCCACCACAGGCTCTTGGTAGCCCAGCTTTGGGGACGGGTGTCCGTGGTGCGGGCCCCCCAACTCCTGCGCCCTGGAACCGCGCGCCCGGCGCCCCTCACCTGCCTCCATAGCCGGAGCTGCAGCGGTGCGCGCCGGCTGCGCAACTCCCGGCCTCACGCCTTGGTCTCCGGCTCGCCTGGCTGAGCCGGCTCGGGTTTCCTGGTGCCGGCTGCGCAGCGGGTTAATAATTGACCGATTTGTTTGCCGACGGCTGTGTCAACACTGCGCTCCTTCGCGCCCTGGTGCTCGCTCCGACCCGGCGTCCTCCCCGCTCCGGATTGCGCTGCAGAGGACCTGGAGCGCAGGACCCGCTCGGTGGCGACTGCAGGAGCCCACGGTGGAGTGGGAGGGCCTGGGGTGTGGCGGAAGGGAGCAGCCCAGGGAATGGGGCGGGCGGGAGGTACATGCAGTTCCCACGGGGATCCGGACGCACAGCCCAGGAGAGCCCTGGACCACCCGGGAAGCGAAGCAGGACGTATCTGCGAAACGCAAAGCCAGATGGAATGGCCAGGTCTTTTTTTTTTTTTGGTCTTACACGGTCTCACTGTAGCCCCAGCCGTCCTGGAACACACTATGTAGACCAGGCTGGCCTTGAACTCAGAGATCCGCCTGTCTCTGCCTCCCCAAAGCTGGGATTAAAGGCGTGCGCCACCACGCCCGGAACTTGTTTGTTTGTTTGTTTTGTTTTGTTTTAATCAGGATTCCGCCCAGGCTCAGAAAAGCCAGGAGTGCAGATTTGCATGTGAGATCTGAGATTTAGAACAGCATGCACCAAACTTTATTCCCTGAAAAGTACCAGTCCAAAGAATGTGAAACAGGTCCCAGCCCAGCCAACGCAAGACACAGCACACACAACGCTGGCTCGCTTGACAGCCTTTTAATTTCATAGCTGAGCTTCCAGGCCAGAAGGAAAATCCCCAGGATAAAGAGGGAGCAGCCCAGGAGGAAGGGGGGGAGAGAAGGAGGGGGGAGGAGGAAGAGAAGAAACAGTTGAAGAGGAGGAGAAACTGCTGAGGAGGGAGCAGCTGCGTTGCTGGGAGGCACCTAGAACCTTCTTGGTCAAGGCTGAGTTTTATAATGGAGTATTAAATGGGGCTTGGCCTTGGATCCCTGATAGGCACAGAGGTAGAATGAGGAGAGAGGGCAGGAAAGTCTGCCTATGGCTCACAGAGCTTCCAAGGAGGCCACACTGACCCAGCTGAGGGTCTGGACAAGGAAATGAACTCTCCCTAGGAGCTGGAACCACATGTACTCAGGGTTCAAATTTAGACCATTCACATGGTCTAGAAACCCCTAGACTAAAAACAGACATTAAAAATAAAGGGGTGGGGGGCCGGGCATGGTGGCCCACGCCTTTAGTCCCAGCACTTGGGAGGCAGAGGCAGGTGGATCTTTGTGAGTTCAAGGCCAGCCTGGTCTACATAGTTCCAGGACAGCTGGGGCTACAAGGAGACCCTGTCTCAAAAAGACCAAAAAAATAAAATAAATAAAAAATAAAATAAAGGAGTGGGGAAACTAGGGGTGTAGCTTAATTGGTACAGTGCTTGCCTGGCATGCACAAAGCCCTGAGTTCGATTCCCATCACCATATATGCTGGACATGGTAATGCAAGTCTGGGGAGGTAGAGGCAGGAGGTTCAAGATCAACCTCAACTACACAGCAAATTCAAGACAGAATGAGCTACATGAGACCCTGTCCCAAAATAAGAATGTCATGGTGGCACACACTTTTAATCCCAGCATCTGGGAGGCAGAGGCAAGAAGATCTCTGTGAGATTGAGGCCAGCCTGTTCTACATAAGGAGTTCCAGGCCAGCTGGGGCTAAGGGGAGACCCTGATTCAAAAAATAAATAGGAGCTGGAGAGAAGGCTCAACAGTTAAGAGTACTGGCTGCTCTTGCAGAAAACCCAGGTTCAATTCCCAGCACCCCCATACTATCTAACAACCATCCATAACTCCACTTCATAGGGATCTAATGCCCTGTTCTGGCCTTGGAGACTGTACAACATTAGCGCACTTACACACACACATGCAAAATATTATGGAAGTGGAACGCTTTTGCAATGTGATGGTAATGAAGAACTTCGCAGCAGGGAAAACTGTTTAGACAAGAGACAGGTGGGGGGAGGTGAGCAGGAGTCTCCTATCCTGCCCCCTGTGGTTGCCCAGGATGGAAGTCTTTGTCTTCCAAAGTTTCCACATTCCTGTACCTTTGTGGCCCGGTGTTTCGGTGTTTCCCTGCTTAATTACCACATGTACCTTTTACCTAATTGTCACCTCTGTGTTTTGCCTTTTGTTTGCATTCCCCCACACAAGTATTAAAAGCCCTCAAAACTTGAACTAGGGGTCTGACTCCTTTTATTCGTGGGGTCAGTCCTGATAGCATGAAATTATTAAACTTCCTCTCCTCACCTGACTTTGGCTTTTTGTCTATGATTTTTCTGTAACACCACCACTCATACACATAAAGTATGTATAAATAAATAGAAACCCTATCTCAAAAAGACCAAAAAATATATATATAGTATGATGATAGATAGATAGATAGATGATAGATAGATAGATGGATGATAGATAGATAGACAGACAGACAGATAGATAGATAGATAGATGGATAGATGATAGATAGATAGACAGACAGACAGACAGACAGACAGACAGATACAGATAGATAGATAGATAGATAGATAGATAGATAGATAGATAGATAGATAGATGATAGATAAATGATAGATAAAGACAGATGAATCAGGATGGGGTTTGATGGTAAACACTTGCTTAGCATACTCAAGGCCCTGAATTTGATCCCCAGCACCATAAAACAAAAAAGGGAGGGAAAGAGCATTGAGACTTACCAAAAGCAAACAAAAACCTGCTCCTGTGGGACACGCCCTTCACAGAAGCTGAAGAGGCTCCAGGAAAATGTAGTGGAAATAGAGGACACACTAGTTGGATGCTAAATGCTCTCGCCTTGTGATGGTAATTAAGACTTTGGAGCAGGAAAAGCCCGGAGATGAGAGATACAAATGGCAGCAGTAGCCGGAATCTTCCCCACCCCCAGGAGAGAAGTCTTTGTTTTCCAAAACCTGCCACATTCCTGTGACCTTTGTGATCACACACCAGTAAACTACTTACTTATTATCATATATGTACCTTTTTATTTAATGATCACCTATGTGCAGTTTTACCTTTGACTGGCATTTCCTCCAATGTGACTATAAAGTTTCCCAAAAACTTGGTGGGGGAGGGGCTGACTCCTGATCCCTGTGTCAGTCCCCGATACAGTGAAATTAAACTCCCTCTCCTCACCTGACTTTGGCTGCTGGTCTCTGATTTTTCTGTAACAAAAGCACCCTGAAGATGGATTCACAGTCCCCAGTGGGCAAAACCCTCTGGGAAACAATCCACCAGGAGCAACAGTCCATAGACTTAATAGCAGGATTTAGCATTTCATGAGTCAGGATCCAATCAGGAAAACAGAACTCACTGGGAGTATCTCCCATTAAAGCACAAAGGAAAGTCAGTGATGGAGCTGGCTTTAAGGGTGGCAAAAGCTAGCCAGAATGGAGGAAACCAACAGGAAACTTACCCCAGGGCAGGCACCGGGAATGCAGTGTTTGAAGAGAATTTAAAGACAACAATAAAAGTGAGTAGAAGTTGCGGGGCTGGAGAGATGGCTCAGCAGTTAAGAACACTGGTTGTTCTTGCAGAAGACCTGGGTTCGAATTCCAGCACCCACATGGCAGCTAACAACGGTCCATAAATCCAGTTCCAGGGGAATCTGACAGCCTCTTCTGTCTTCCGCAGGCACTGCACGACACTGGTGCACTTACCTACACACAGGCAGTACATGCATACACACAAAATTTTTTTTTTTTAAAGTTTTTTTAAGTGATTAGAAGTTGCTCTGCTTTTAACCAGGAGTCAGTGATTCTAAGCAATGCCAGTGATAAAACATTCCTCTGTGAAGTCTTTCATCGTTCTAAATTCTAAACAATTACTGTGGAAACCAGCAGATAGGTTCACACATTCATCCTGTCCCAAGAATATGACCCTCCACATGGGAAAATATGAAAATATCAGTACCTTCTCAACAAAAAGACTCAACCAAATAAGTCCCACTCATACTCTCAAAGTTCAAGTGTGAAAAAGTTAGATATTTTCTTTAAAAGTGATTTTTAATTCCCTCCCTCCTCCCTTCCTTCCTTCCTCCCTCCCTCCTTCCTCCTTCCTTCCTCCTTCCTTCCTTCCTCCCTCCCTCCCTCCCTCTCTCTCTCTTTCTTTCTTTCTTTCTTTCTTTCTTTCTTTCTTTCTTTCTTTCTTTCTTTCTTTCTTTCTTTCTCTCCCTCCCTCCTTCCCTCCTTCCTTCCTTCCTTCCTTCCTTCCTTCCTTCCTTCCTTCCTTCCTTCCTTCTTCTTTCTTCTTTTTAGACAGGGTTCCCTATAGGCCTGGCTTTGGATATGTAGAACAGGATGACCTTGAATTTCTGATCCTCCTGCTTCCATCTCCTGCATGCTGGGATTATAGATGCCCACAACTCCCGGTTTATGCAGTACTGAGGATCCAGCCAAGGACTTCTGCACATTAGAACAAGCACTCTACCAACTAAACTACACCCATGGCTCAATAAAAGAGCATCCTTTTCTTTTTTGTTTTCCAGCTATCAGATCAAGAAAACCTTAGGAGCTTTCTAAGGAGGAACCTTAAGTGCA